GCCCCGTTTGCACCCGCGCGCCATGGCCTCCACGCTCGTCGGCGAGGTCATGTGGGTGACGTCGGGCAGCGCCGGTTATCGTCCGGCGCTCGTCTGCGACCCGCGGGCGCACGCGCCGCTCGCGGGCGACTGCTGCGCCACCAAGGCCCTCTGCCGCTTCTACGGCGACGAGCCGTATTACGAGGTCTGCGACATCCAGCGGCTGCTCCCCTACCTCGTCGGCGTGGCGGCGCGGGAAGGCACGCGCGACACGCGCCAGATGAAGGCCGCCGTCGCGGCCGCGGCCGCCGACTACGACCGGCCGAAATCGTCGCGCGGCGGCCGCGCGGCCGTCGCGCCCAAGCCCGCGTACAAGCCCGGCCAGCAGCGGCGCGCGAAGCGGGCCGCCGCGGTGTCCATCGCGCTCACCGCCGCCGAGGAGCTGCCCGCGCCGCGGCGGAAGCGCGCGCGCGCGGCCGCCGCCGCCGACGAGCCGGCGCTCGAGTGCGCGCCGAAGCGGCGGTCCCCGCGGCCGCGGCCGCCCGCGGCCGCGGCGGCGAAGCCCCCCGCGAAGAAGTCCGCGGCGGCGAAGAAGGAGCTGTGGAAGGCGCGGGGCGCGTGGCCCGACGGCAAGACGTTCGGCCGAGGCCACGGCCAGCCGTACCTCCAGCCCAAGTACGCGGACCTCATCAAGAGCGGCGCCAGACCTGGGAGGGCCGCGCCTACGCGGGCTGGCTCGAGCACGTGTCCGTCGACGACTGCATCACCTTCAAGGTGACGACGCGCGGCGCGGAGCGCGTCATCGCGCGCGCGCTCGACGTGCGGCGCTTCGACACCTTCGAGGACATGCTCGACCACTGCGGCCTCGACGCCTGCCTGCCGGGCTGCGCGAGCCGCGAGGAGGGCGCGAAGATCTACCGCTCCTTCGGCTGCTTCGACGGCCGCACCTACGCGGACGTCGAGGCGGAGGCCGGCGTCGTCGCCATCCGCGTCATGCCCCTCGACCACATCAACTAGGGCGCGAAATTTAACACGGCGCGGGGTAGCCCGAGGCAAGCGTCGTTACCTCCTAGTGCTCAGCGACCCGCCCTGCTCGCGCCCGCTCCGGGGCGCGAGCTCGTGGCGGCGTCGGCCCGGCGGTCGCGTCGCGCGGGTCTTCGGTGGTGCTTTTCGCCGTCCTCGTCGCGGGCGCGGCGCGGTCGCGGTGGCTTGGGCGCGGCCGCCTCGGGGCGGCCGGTTCACCAGCCGCCCTTCTTGCCGCCGCCGCCGCGCCAGCCGCCGCCGGAGCCTTCGCCGCCCCAGCCGCCGCCCCAGCCGCCGCCGTGGCCGCCGCCCCAGCCGCCGCCGCCGCCGCCCCAGCCGCCGCGGTGGTGCGGCGGCGG